CATCAAATCCTAGCAATCAAGTTGACTCTCCTAGCTGTACTAACATTAAATGCTCTGACATTGACGAGACAAGACACAAGTAAACTTTACACAAAAGTCACATCAATCATTTGTTGGAGATTTTCATCATAGCCGAATCCTCGCAAGTGGGCCTTTGATGGACCTCGGACGTGAGATGGAGGGGCCCCGGAGTAATAGCGAGGGCCTCGGACGAATAGCCAGGGCCTCGGAACCCACAACTGAAGCTAGAGAATAACGACCTGATCGAATTAAGCTGGTCCCACCGTCGTGATGTGACGCCACGTGTCCATTCTGTCCTTTAACCCGTAACAGTATGCTTTTTATTTTATGTTCAAGAGAAGATTTCCAAGGCTAGCCAGCCCTAGAAGCGGTAGTATGGGACACTAGTTGAGCCAAGAAAATCTCGTAATCAGGGTGGACAGTATCTACTTCTTTGGATTGGGTCTTAGTTGTGCCATCTATGCAGGATGAACTGGGCTTTCCAGACATGATAATTGTCTTGTGAAAGCTTGGTTACATTAATGGTGGGTGGAGTAATGATTTCAGGAGCAACAGTGTATCATGTATCAGACATACCTGAGGGGAAGAGGACATGTTTAAGGAGTAGACATTTGTATAATGGCTCGTTCTGATACGATGTAGAAGAATAAAACTAATAATGTTTGAATAAAACTATGTATACAACGGTGGTATTTATACACATTCAATCAAACAGAAACACCTAATACAATTCCTATAACTTTGCTATTTCCAATTCAGATACAAACAAAACATTGTTAGCAGAATTTTCGATATCTTACTCCTATGTTTCAGGAACTTCTTCATTGGGATTTGAATTTTTCTGAACTTTGTGCAAGCAACTATTTTAGTTTTATTTAATTTATTTATTTTTTAAAATGGGCAGCTCGTACAGAACGAAATGGCCCGTGACACGAGCCAGACAGTGTGGCTCGACGAGCCATACAACCCAGCTCGAGCTTTTTTCAAGTCGAGCCGGAACCGACGAGCTTTTTGCCATCCCTACACCTAGTAGTGTTGCAGGACACAAGGCCCGGTCCGGCTGAGCTTTTTCCGGGTTGAGCCCGAGTCGACGAGTTTTTTTGTTATCCCTACACCTAGTAGTGTTGCAGGACAACAAGGATTTTGTTGGGTGGACCTTCTAAGTTTTTTATAAGTATTATTGGAAATTTTTCTTGGGCTTGTGTAAACCCAACCCGATTCACTCAGCCCACTAACGGAGAAGAAAGACCATTTTTATTTTTTAAAATTCTTGTGATGTAGCGAATACGTGGAAAAGCACAACTTTGACACAATTGTGAGTAGTGGGGATACAAAAGGCGATTCCAAAGCATATTCTTCTTTAGAGAATCGATGTCAATTGCCACACAAATAATGCCATTTTTGTATTAAAAGCGTAACTATCCGCTTCATAAAAAAGTTTATTTGTATAATAAACCATAACAAGAATTCAAAAAATAATTTCTAATCGGACAAATTTCACTTAAGATAATTAGATTATTAAACTTCAATTTCATTAACTCTCCCAAATGGATGAATATTATTTAATTGATAGTCATACCGCAACAAATATTATATGTAATATTTGTTTTACATGATCACTTGCCACCATACCACAAGTCTTTAAATAAAAAATAACACATCCTTTAAATATACAGACGGTACATGATCACCAACTACGCAATTTCGTTAATTTGGATGACAATAGATGAAAAAATATGACAAAATGATAAAATTTAAAAACAAATTGAAATTTAATTGTCCTTGATTTCAACAAGTTTCAGATAATATATTGGACGGTGAAACGATCTAATAGATGTATGTTTTCTCATGATTCAGATCTACATGAATGAGAATATATATCTCTGATCATATTCTTATGAAACGTTTGTTATCCCCTTCGTTTTGGTTCCTCGACCTCGCCAGCTATTTGCTTTTTCAAATTGGATGCATTCAAAGAGGCGCAGGCTAAACAAGCAAGCAAGTGTTCCTTGCAAGTTAATAGAGTTGGAGCAATCATGGGCGGACCTAGGATAATATGTTAATTTTAAAAATTCTCCGACGATAGTACGCTAATTGAATCTACAAATTGCTTATATCATCTCAAAATTTATTTCAAGAACTACATTATGGACATATCGAATAGTCCAAGCAAATATCGAAAATAGTTAAAAATACATGAAACGTGAGTTTTAAAAAAAAAAGACGTCTAACTCGCATTTTTTTAAAAAATCAATTATTTCATTAACATTTACTATTTTTGCGATACAAATTTTTAAATGTAATTTTCATCATTTAATTAGGAAATTTTGAAAAAATTTCGAAATTTTACATCTGAAAAAGTCATATACCATGTAAATTTTCGGATGTAAAATTACATGGGGTATGATTTTTTTGTGCGTAAATGTGGGGTCACGTGACCCCCCAATTTTTGAAATTTTTTTATATAGTCATATTTGGTATCGATTGAAATCTAAATTTTAATCTAAATTAAAGTTAATAATTAATTTTAATAACATATTTCATGGAATCAATAACTGCTTAATTTTTATCAAAATTTACTAAAATTTTGATTTTAATCTTCACCAAATATGGGCAAAATTACAATAAATTTGAATTTCGATAATATGCTTATTTTAAAAATTCTCCGACGACAGCACACTAATTGAATTTACAAATTGTTTATGTCATCTCAAAACTTATTTCGAGAACTATATTATGGACATATCGAATAATCCAAGCAGATATCGAAAATAGTTAAAAATACGTGAAACGTGAGTTTTAAAAATAGACGTCTAACTCGCATTTTTTAAAAAAATCAATTATTTCATTAACATTTACCATTTTTGCGATACAATTTTCTCAATGTAATTTTCATCATTTTATTAGGAAATTTTATATGGAATATGACATCAAAAAGTTTCGAAATTTTACATCCGAAAAAGTCATATACTATGTAAATTTTCGGATGTAAAATTACACGGTATATGATTTTTTTGGACGTAAATTTTCGATTGTAAAATTTCTCCTAATTTCTTTACAAATTCGATTGTATCCCCCTAATTTTTAATGTCTGTGTTCGTCCCTGAGAGCAATTGATAAATTATGGTTTAAAAATCAAAATTTCCGTGATTTCTCTCTCGAAATTTCATGGTAGACAGAATTTATTGGTGGGACCAATTTGATTTTCTTACTTTTCTTTATTTTTCTCTTCAAAGATACGATATTTAGTCATGTAGTTAAAATTAAATATTTAATAAAGCTTAATAAAATTTGAAAAATTTTGTGATTGAATAATTGTGAATATCATAAAAATTAAAATTAATGATTAACTTCGACTTTGAATTAAAATCAAATTTTAATTTATATGAAACGGTGGCTTAACATAGATGCAAGAGAGCATATTATATTATTATGTTTATACCAACTCCAAAAAAGAGGTAACGAAGAATGTGGGGAGTGAGTCAGAGAAGAAAGGGATACCCTTCCCTCCAAATATGCAACCAAAAAGCTAGCGTACGCACTCCAAAAGAGGAATCCTAACCACATTTACGCGACCTCTATTTTTCTGATTCCAAAACTACCCTTATTCGAAATTGGATACAACACAATATATTTCGCTTATAGTTTATAGCACCATATAAATAAAATTAGAGGATCAAAAGAGTTTTGACTTATTTGACTTTTGATATTTGCCAAAACCCAAAAGAAATGTATGTATAATTGCATATACGAAATTCTAAACACAATATAAGAGAGAGCTTTTTCATCAATTATAGTGACAAACGACAATCGATGCATGCAGAATAAATCTACCGCCACATTGTTTAATGAGTTTAGACAACGACCATCTTTAGTCCTTATTTTCTCAAATTCATTTTTAATCATATATTTTACGAGACCCACAATTTTTTCAATCATATATTTTATCAAAAATAACTAAAAATGTAATATTTTTATCTAAATCAAATAGGGACTGCATTATTCTTTTAAAAACAAATAAAATTAAATTAAAGAATGATAAGGGTAGGAGTGTCAAATGATTTGGAAAGTTTAAAAAGAGAATAAGCATGGCATGCAAATGGATCACTACTCCCCAAAACTTTTATAGAGATTTACCCTCTACTTTTTTCTACACTCATCAAATCCTTAGCCCCTAAGACTTCTCTCCTCCGTCTTCCCAACTTCTTTCACATTTAGAAATTCAGATCCACAAACCAAATTTTCTCTGAGTTCTTAGCAATGGCTGATACATTTTCTCACACTTCCAAACCCCAAAGTCAAGACTCATCTGACCATTCAAATCCAGGTAAGTTTTCTTATAATTATCTGTACAAAGCTGCTCTTGTTACAATTTTTCTTCTTCTTCTCCCATTTTTCCCTTCCCAACCTCCTGAATTCATTAACCAAACCCTGCATGCTAGAAGTTGGGAGCTTCTGCAGCTTATTTTTGTGGGTATAGCCGTCTCTTATGGTCTTTTTAGCAAGAAAAATGATGGAACTGATAAAGATCATGCCTCAAAATTTGATAATGCACAAACATATGTATCTAAGTTGCTTCAGGTTTCATCAGTTTTTGATGATGAAACTGAAAACCAAACTGTAGTTGATGAAAACAAGGTCCAAACCTGGAATTCTCAGTACTATAGGGGGGAACCACTCAAGGTAGTGGCAAAAGAAAGCCCTATTAGCGTCAAAGAACAAACTGCTACTAGTTCAGGAGTCGGCCAAAAGCCTTTGCTTTTGCCTCTTAGAAGCCTCAAACAGCGTGTGCCAGAGACTGATGAGGTAGATGATTCCAATGGAAAAACCGGTTCATTGATTAGTAGATCAAGATCTAATTCAGGGTCAAAAAGATTTACCAGCAGCAGTTCGAAAAAGTCAAGAAATGAGGAATTTGGAGTTGGAGAGATAAATCCTCTAAATTTGGACGAAAAAGTAGAGGACAATGTTGTCCTCCGTTCGCCAATTCCATGGCGATCAAGATCAGGACGGATTCAAATGAAGGAAAATGGGGATGACCTTCCTTCATATTCAATGGAGGATCCTGAATTCAGTAGCCTGGAATCGCCTTCTTTAAGGTCATCTAGGCCTAATTCTACTTGTTCAACACCAAAAACTGTATCCCCTTCGCCATCTATATCCTCTCCTAAAAAGCTTTCTTCTTTATCATCAACCGAGTCTCAAGCCAAAAGTCGTGAAGATTTGATGATGAGAAATAATTCCCACAAGTTTTCACCTCCACCACCACCACCTCCTCCTCCTCCTCGAGCACCTCCAACACATCTTCGGAAATCTGTATTGATGAAATCGAATTCCAGTGTGTTGAATGATGCTGTTTGTTCCGAAAAACAAATGAGGCGGAGCATAAGGAGTATGCCAACGCAAGAATTGAGCGAGACAGATTTGGACAAACCACCAAGAAGAGGCAATTTCGGTTCAGATTTCAAGGCTGCTAGAGTTGGAAGTGATGATGTTCCATTTGTTGGGACTTCTGTTCGAAAAACTAGACGTGGCGAATTTCAAATGGAGAAAAATCCCCAAGAATATGAAGCAGCAATCTTCCTTGACAGAAGTGAAGGATATACTAACAAATCCATGCATGAAACTGTAATTCCTAATAATGCATCATCAAAGAAGGAACCAGTTAATGAAAAGGTTTTTGTGGAAACTAGTGATGATGATGACAACTCCTTAGAGACTGAGTTTGAAGATGATTACTTTGAAGGAAGCAGTTCAGGCAATCATGGAGAACCCACAAACACAAAGGCGAATGATGGTGGTAATGATGCCGGGCGCGATGTGGACAAGAAGGCCGATGAGTTCATTGCAAAATTCAGGGAACAGATCAGACTTCAAAGAATCGAGTCTATTAGAAGATCCACTAAACAGCGTGCAGCTGCAAACACTTCGAGGTAAACTCAATTCAGCTGTGGTTTCATCACTGCCATCTTAAGAGTTTTTTTCTTTACTTTTTTTTTTTTAATTAATTTTTCATTTTCTCTTCACAAATTCCTGGGCCTTGGTATAGAGGATTTGATGCGATATGTATTTTCATTGTAACTCTAATTATCAGACAGGTATACATACTATTTTATGGATTACTCTCCTGCTTTCAAAGTGATCCTTCAGCAGCCGTACTGTGTGTTTGAATTTTGAAATGGCAACCAGTGATCGATCACTAAATTATGCACTTAATGATATTATCTTACATATTTTGAAGCAAAATTATAAAGTAATTACAACCCTTGAAAACATTTCATTTTAAAGTTACGTAACCATCGTAATTTTCGTCATGTAAAAACATATTATTTCATATATCTTGAACATGTACAAGCAACATCCACAAGAAAACATGCTTCATCAATTTACACCCAACGGCAATATCACAAATAAAAGTATTACTCGATACTCAATAGACCGTCCGATAGAGCCAATTCTTTCATCTTCTAAGCAACTCTAGTGCGATGGGGGTATGTTTGATGTGTGAAACTACTTTTTAATTATATATTTCGAGGAACACTTAATTTTTGGAAAACACTTCATAAAAGTATTTATATATATATTTATATATTGCTATCTCTAAAAGAGCTTTCGGAAAAAATTACCTTAATTTTTATTTAGAAACTAATTTTTAAAAAAACTTCATATTTTAAAAGTGCTTTTAGAGAAAATCACATTGGATCAACTTCTAAAAGCTCTTCCAATTATCAAAAATACTTTCATAAAAGTAGCCCAAATCCAAAAGCAACTTTTAGATCTCAAAAGATCATTTTGACTTTTCAAAAGCCATGTCAAATGAATCATTAATATCATCAAAATCACAAGCTGAAAATTTTGAAACATTAGGATTGTAGAACTTTGAGCTATGGATTCACTTGAGCCATGAATTAGAGTCTACACAGGAGAAAACAAAGAATCTTCTATGTACTCTCAATGAAAATATAATATGACGTTTGTCAACATCAGGAAATGTTTATGACAGGCCATAGGAATGAGCCATTGATGTCTTTTAGGTTAGAAACAAATTGATACGGTTCCTTTAACTGCCAAACAATTTTCTTACAACATATCCGGACTATGTTAATGTTATTCACCCGATCATATCAATCGATGAACCTACTAGTGGCACAATATAATGTTATTCACCGACAAAGTTCCTGAATTCAAATTTTGAACAAAAGGAGTTGAAGTAATCTCCAGACCTTTAAATTCTCTTACAGAAGCATAGTCGAAGTTGCTCAATGAGATGATAGAAACATTCCCAGTGGGAAAATGATATGCACTCAAAGATACAAGATGCTTCATTCACCATTCCTGGAACTGGAACATATTTAGAACAGTTAGGATAACGAGTAGTAATAATCGTTAATTTTAATTTTCTAATAATTACAGTTATAGTAGCAAAGTAAAGAATAGAGTTCAGTTGAGGTAAGTACAGTGTGTAGGCCACTACATTAACTTGAAACATCTACCTGCAGTCAATATATAAGGTTGTGTAATACTATTATGACTAGAGGGTATGAGCCACAGAAGAAAGAAAAACCGCATTGAATTTGAAAAGTAGAGTTGATCTTTCCTCTGCCCCAGCCCCCTTTTTTTGAACCAAAAGACTTAAAACTAATTTCTGCATAAGATTTGTTCTTCTACATTCTCAGAACCAGAGGATTATATCCTTGCATCATCCAAATAAGAAAAAAAGACATTGACAAAAAAAATAGAGACATAACCACGATTATACCTAGAATCAAGCATCATCACCCTCAGCAGCCATCAAAGCAAACGGATCGTGAGAAGGACCGGTATCAATATGGCGCCGCACCAGATGCTACAAATCAGCCATAACCTTCTGCTCACGCTTGGACTTCTCCTCATGGTTAAACATTGCCAGCGCTCGTTTGTCCTCAGCGCTGTAAACTTGATTTTCTTTTCTGATACGGATGGCATTCATTCTCTGATGCCCACTGCCACTCATCACATACCCAAGAGTCTCAAACTTCTGAATCTCCTCAGCTGAAAGGCCCACTTCAACTCTGCAACTGCAAGGAATATGCTTACCTCGCTGAACATACCGTGCAATGGCATCACCTTCACCGGGCCTAAGTGCACCACCATAGCTAATGTGCCCTTCTGCGGTTGGAAAAGGCACTGGCCCAACAACTGGTTCGATTTCCAGGGTCAGTTTCTTCCCAGACTCAATCATTTACTTAAACTTAAACGACTGCGCTTTACTTTTGTTGCTCACTTTAGCCTCGCCTACCTTCTGCTCAGCATTCTTTTCCATCAATTTCAGAATCAGAGCTCATTTCATCGGCATTGGAACTCTCCTTATCAGAATCATCCTCCTTCTTGCTTTTTTGAGACTTCAAAGATGAGGCGCGCTTCCCCTTCTTTGACTTACCATGATCACTACTTTCACTTGAATAGCTCCTCCTCCTACTTCTCCCAGACCTTTTACTTTTCTTACTGCTCTTTTTCATTGATTTTCTCCTCCGCCTTCTCCTACTTTCTTCTTCCAAGTCATCATCCTATCTGGACTCTTCTGACCCACTCTCGATCTCAGATACAGATTTTGATCTCCTTGACAGCGAGTCATCTGATCTAGATTCAAAATGCTCAGGCTCCAACTCAGATTCACTCTCTGATGAATCACTACTCAAATCTTTTCGAACCAGACTTTAATTTATTATCCTCTCTGTTCCCTTTTCCTCTTCTGCTTTCCTTGTAATTTCATCCCCAGGTTCCAAATCCGAGGATTGGTTTGGTTCCCTAGGAGGGCTAGGAGAAGAATTCCAAATTCAGTTCCTGAGCAATTTTCTCAATTTCTGGCAATTAAGCCTCCTGTACTCTTCAAATCCAAAGCTTTTCAATTCTTCTTCCGACTCAGACTCCCCATGACGTCCATTTTCATAATCGTGATCAAGAAACGGTTTCTTTCTGTCGCCATACCGATTCCTATTTCTTCTGTTGGCATTGGGGTACGTCTAGTGTAAGAAGAATAATCAGGAGAAGAGCGATGGTACCTGTTGTAGCCATTGTTAGGCAGGCTACTACTGTAGCTTGGGCTCCAGCTCCGGCTGAAAAAGTCTAGTGAGAAGAGGCAGGTGAACAATAAAAGGAGAACTGTTGGAAAAGATATGAACTCAAAATGACAAATCGGTGAATCATACTTGGCAGAACGCCAAACACTATGAGTTGCTTGTGCTGAAACGTGGGAGGGAGGGGAAAGTATTTCCCTTTCCTGAACTTGGTTTTCCTCTCAGAAACCAAGTTATACTGTGTGGGGGCCCGGAATTTTAACGTCATTATGGAAGTTGTGGAATGTTAGTATAGTGTCATATTCAATGAGGCCGTTGATGTTAGTGACACAGACGGAGCGAAGTGGAGATTTGTACCTCTCTGTAAGAAGCTTGTAACTAACTGGCTTTATTACATCCAATTTTAAATATTGAAAAATGAGCAAGTTTTAATACCTGTAAGAACATTAACTTGTGCAAATTATTCAAATAGGTAACTATCAAGGACATTTAATCTCTCGAGTATTATATACGAAACCTTTCGATATCAAGGCTCTCAGAACAAACAGAAGATACCAGTGAACCCCATACAGAAATTTGTGGTATCTTAGCTTGACTAATCATCTCCTCCAACCACATAACGGCTTTATATGGTCTTCCAATTAAGCAAAGGCCCTGTATAAGTTTAGTGTATGTTTCACCTCCAGGCCAGTAAGAGTGAATTAGCATCTGCTCCAACATCTGACTAGCTTCTAAGTATTTACCATCGCTACATAGTCCATCAACGAGAATCTCGTATGTTTCCTGGTTCGGAACACAGGCAACCTGCCTAGACATCTTCTCAAAATACCCTAAAGCCAAATCGGATTTTCCTTTGTTACAAAGACCTCTGATTAGAGTATTATACAACCTAACAGTTGGAACACAACTATTCTCCACCATCTCCCGATCAATCACGTCCATGACTTCATCAATCGTTCCTGATGTAAATAATGATGCGACCTTAGCTTCGTAAATTCGTGAAGATGGTCTTAAACCTCTGTCGTACATTTCTTTGAGCACTTCGTCACCCTTATCAATCTTTCCTTCGGAGTAAAAATCAACCGCCAATGACCTGTATGCATCCCAACTTGGAACTATGCCTTTGATCAAAGCCTTGGTGATAAATGCTTTTGCATTATGGATACTTGCTTCACATTCATGATTTCTTTGGCTTAGATCAAGCTGTTTTTGGCATCGCTTTGGAGCCTTGAGCCCTTTCCTCAAGACTTTACCAAGTATTGCCACAGCCTCGTAGACCTCTCCATTGTCACACAAAGCATCCAACAGAGTTCTATATATAGCAACATCAGCACCACTGCCCTTTTGAGAAATCCTCCACAACATAGAGTATAACAAATGGGTGGCCTCAGTGAGTCTTCCATCTTCACACAAACCCCTCATCAAAGTCAAATATGTTTCCCTAACTGGATAGCAACACTGATTATCCATTTCTTGGAAAATGCACAATGCAAGATCAGAACGATGTATACGACAAAGACTATATATGAGCAAATTCAGGGCATGGGTCAAAGACTTGACTTCCCATCGGCAGGAATTCTCTAAAAAAAGGTGATAAGTGGTTTCGAGTTCGTTCTCTTTCACTAGTATCTTCAAAAGAGTAATGAAAGATTCTGTCCAGTTCACACAATTGAATTGTGGAAGACTTCTGAATAGAGCAATTGCTTCATCTAATAAACCTGCTCTTGCATAAGTTTTAATTGCACCGGCAAATACTGAATCCTTACACTCGCAGGAGTCCTCTTTCATTCTATAAATTACTTCTTTCATCTCAGTCACTCGTCCTGACCTTCCTAGGATGTCAATCATGGCAGCATATACAGGACCGTTATGGTGGTAATTTGGGTATCTGTTTTTTGCTTCACCAAAGATCCCCAAAGCCTTTAGCGGGTTTTTCTGTTTTCGTATCAGCTGTGACAGATGAGTAGGTGTTAGATGCCTTGGCCATCTGATACTCATGGGTTCAACACCTTCAATCTGTTTTATGAATAACGTGGATGAAGAAAAAAGATCTTTAGTATTAGTAACAACACACAGAGTATATCCTAAACCCAAACAACTCATGAGCAAGAGATGGCATGAAGAAGAGTAGTATCACACCACCGGCAGTGGAATTTTCTCAAACAAGCAAATTATTATATACTGTATATTTAATATTTATCCTTCACACTTCACAGTAATCACCAAACACCTTATAAGCCTATTCTTGTTCTTAATTTCGAAACCCTATGAGATTCTTGCCATTAGATGCTAAAGTGCAGAATAAAGTTTTCAGAGCATGTAATTAAATATAAATATTGTCAAGAACCTTACCGACTGTAGATTTTGTGCAGTGTTTAGAAGGCCTTCTGCAACTACGTCAAACAAATTTCTCAGTGAAGCAGGGCTTCTTGACTCTTTCTCCAAATCTAGGACTGGTGGAGTATCTGTTACCCCTTAAATTACGCCAAAACGAAATAAAAATTGCAATTTCAAAGAAACAAAATTCAAAAACTAATTCAGGATGGAAACTCAACAAATTCCGAGCTTTATCCCCTCTATTGACATTCCTAACCCCTTCGCATAATTCCTTGCAGAAAATGGGTCAAAAAAGGAATTTGAAGAGCAATGTTCTGGGTATTGCCAAATTCAGTGTCCCAAAACTTCCATTACCCAATTTTTCACCTCGTGCTTTTGGGCTGATGTGAATTGGCGGAGGCGCTTTGGGATTGGCCAGTGGCAGGCAGTGAATGGGTTGGAATGAGGTTGGGTGGGTTGGGGGACTAATCTAAATTTTTCGTACTTTTAACTAGGACTTATTTGTACTATTAAAAAGTTTGGAACTCCCTCTACAATTTTCTCTTTATTCCTTTGTTATTTTATTTTCTTTTTATTTATTTCAAGAGGAGGACAAAAATGTCATTTTACGAGATCTTAACGGTGAAATGAACACATTCTGTCATCTGGACGAACTATAACAAGTACTTGAAAGTTGGAGAAGAAAATCATGCCATTATAAAAGGTTGGGTATATCTCGGCCATTTTGGAAAGGTCGGAGACCAAATATGCAATTTTCCAAATATTTTACATTAACAAATTTTTTTCCTATCCCCAACATTCCAACCATAGCGGGTGTTTGGTAGAGATTAAAATCGGATTAAAATTAAAAAACTAGCCGTTATTGTTGACTTTTATTAGATGAGTGGGACCCAATAACGTCTATATTTTCAATTTTAATTGGATTTTGAGCCGTACCAAACAGGCCCATAATATACCCCTTGTTTAGTGGGCTTTAATATACTTTAATTTATTTATCATATTCATTTTCAATTACACATTCATACAATAAAATATTCTACACGTAAATTCAAAAATTTTCTCTACTTTTTAATCACACGTTCTCTAAAAAATACTATTTAAAACATAATTTTTTTCAAATTAAAGACCACCAAACATGGACATGATCCAAACATTTTTATAGTTAGCACATATACATAAATCATAAGTCACCAAAGAGCAAAGGGGAAAATCATGGGACAAAATGAAAAAAATGACAACTGATGCTAACACGACTCCAGATATAGTGGTCGATCGACTATAATTTGTAAAACTCAGTCGTAATTTTGCCAAGATTTGACGGGTCCTCCAGTTAGCATTTGACCTCTTAACATGCAAAGAAAACAAATGGCAGCAACTACTTGTGATAGTTACATGTCTGATAGCAACATCTTTAGGATTGAATAGAAACAGTGTGAAATCTTCCTTTTTATTCAAAATTCAAATTAATAATGTAGAAAACTATTTTATTGGTAGAAGGTAAAAAGGAAAACTTCCACTAATTCAAATAGTCAGTTACAAAAAGTGTTGCAAACTAACGAGCAAATTGTTATGACAGTATTTTAATTATGGAATATATTTCTCTGCAAGATGTTAAATCATGACTTAAAAGTTTAAGCTGTTAGCTAGGACTATAAGTGTATCATTAACACACCCCATCAAGTGTAGATGGAATTCATTTTGTCATCAAAGCCTCCAATTTTTTAATTGGTGGCAACCTACTCTTACTCTAATTTGATGTAAAAGTTTAAGTTGTCAGAGACTCGAAGAGGGCTACATGTGTTTCATTTAAATATTATCTACAACAAACCCATTCAAGTAAGTAGAGATGAGGTGCACAATTTTAAAATTGGTGACGACACTCTAACTTGAAACGGGAATTCAAAGATGCAGCAAAATTCCAGGCTTTAACTTGCTTTGAAATGGTTTTATGACATCTGGTTTCCAAAGAAGGTTCAAACAGCACAATAGTTTCAAAATAACCAAGTCAGAAAACGTTAAGTTTGCAATGTTCAGGTGATTTCTAGTCGAGGCACAAAAGTTCTACTGCACATCTTTACTATGGTGATAATCGGTCGAAAGCTTAAGAATGCAGAGATTAATGACAACACCCAGCAAGCCTAAACAAGAAACTTCAAAATTAAGCCGCAAAGATGCTCAACAAAACTTGATAGAATCTTTAAGTTTTCTATTCAGCAGCAGGAACAAGAAGCAAGCTCTAAACACATTCCGTAGCATACATCAAGAAGTTGTTTCTCTCATCACCACCATCCAGCAAATAAGCTCAAGAAAAATTACCAAACACATCGTGCATCATAGAATGAATATACATGTACTAAAGAGTGATGAATTAGAAGTAGAACCATATAACGCGGATCAAGAAGTCAAGGAGAACATAATTAATATGTTGTATCAAAAGCAATGAACTACTCCTTTAAGACAAATGTTTATTTTATATAGAACGGAATCCTTAAGAGAGGAGATGCAAAGTTAAACGTATTTGAATAATACAACATAATGGAAATTAAAACGTATATCTGAACTTTCCTTTGGACAGTGATCATACAGAATGATCCCATGCCTTCCGCTTAAACAGAGTCAGCGTACCACTGGCCCGCCTATCTTCTCCAGTTATTTTCCCTTGCAAGGTGGCAAAGGTTTTCCACACAAGCACAAGTTGTGAGCATATGCAGCTGCACTGTAGATGTTAAATGGTCTTCCTTGTGGTATCTCTCCACACAATCTATTTGCCCTGAAGCTTGCATGTTTCAATGCTTCAATTCCCAGCAAGCTGTCTGGAATTTTTCCTGTAAGCCCATTGATTGACAAGTCTAGCCATTGTAACTTCACTAATAATCCTAAACTCGTTGGGATTGTGCCTGTTATATGATTTCTTGAAATGTCGAATCTTTCAAGCTTAGCCAGGTCTGAAATTGAACTAGGAATATGACCTGCAATCCTGTTACTTCCTATGTTGAGCACCTTTAAGTTCAACCCACCACTGAATTCAGGAATGCTTCCAGAAATTTGATTCATCGAGACATCAATAGCCTCCAAAAATTTGCTCGTCTTGTTGCTTAATATACTTGAAAGAGAACCAAACAGTAGGTTGGAATGGAGATCAAGAGAGGAAAGTTGATCAGGCAATCTGATTGAGGAGAGATCAATCTTCAATAGGTTATTAGAAATCTTGGCACTCTGCAAGCTCGACATCTTTGTGAGAAAATTTGCAATCCCATCTGTGAAATAATTGTCGGACAGGTCTAAGCTGGTCAAGGAGTCGGGCTTCGTAAAGTTTGGGAGGGTTCCTCTAAGCTTGCAGCCTGCTAGATGGACATCAGAAAGTTGTCTATTTCTGATCCATTCAGGGACTGTCCCTAAATTAAGACTGTTGTAGGACAGATCTATGGCTAACAGAGAAGGGAGTCCCTTAGAAAATGCTATATTAGGTAATGGATCCATAAGCACATTTCTAGACACATTAAGATGCCATAAGCTCTGTAAGTTTGCAATAGATTCTGGAATCTGACCTGTAAGTTGATTGGCGTTCAATCTTAGTACAGAAAGAGACTTTAAATTGCCAATTTGTGTTGGAATTCTTCCAGTGAGCAGATTTTGATCAATTGACAGCTCTGAAAGCTGGACTAGGTTGAACAAAGAAATGGGTATCTGCCCTGACAACTGGTTGTTGGTGAGCACAAGATATTGCAAGGATTGAAGCTGCCCTAAAAAATCCGGGATGAACCCAGATAATGAATTGAAGCTGAGATCAAGAAACTGTAAGCTCATGAGGTTCTTAAGGTTTGGTGGGATAGGACCTATGAGGGAGTTTTTAGCTAAATTCAACTGAAGGAGGCCTTTCAAGTTCCCTAATGCAGGAGGAATTTGTCCTGTCAAATGGTTGCCATTGAATGAGAAAGTCTGTAGCAAGGACAAATGACCCAAACTTGAAGGGATTTCCCCTTGCAGGGCATTGTCATCTAGGACAAGTTCAGTCAGGCGACTGAGATTCGAGAAACTTTGAGGGATTGTTCCTCCAATCCTTTTCATCCCACTTATTACCATTGTCTCCAAGAAATGTAAATTACCAAGAGAGGGGGACAAAATGCCTATCATATGAACACTCACATTACCAGCAGATGGGCTTTGCAGCATCAACTTGTTAACTCGGCCGGTGGCCGGATCACATTCAACGCCTTCCCAGCCACCCCCGCAACAATCTTTGCCTGTCCATGTAGACAGTAAATCAGTAGTGTCCTTTAATATTCTGGCCTTAAAACCAACAAGAGCCAATCTGTCAACCTCTGAACAAGCAGATGATGATGCCTGTGAATTTTCAAGATAGAAGAATACTATTATCAGTAAAAGCTTTATAACCCACATCGACATCTGCATTTTGGAATCCAATTGGAGAGATTTTCGAAAAAAAAAAATTTCAAATCAAAGTGTGAGTCTGACAAAGAATACTGAAGAAAACCTAGTAAAGTATACTAGTTTTCTTTACATAAAATAAATAAAATACAGTAAAAGGAATCATGTAAAGCGAGAATTCACGTAGACAACAAGGCATAATGATGAAAAAGATAGTGCAAAACTCGTAAAACCGTCTCCCTTTTTATAGGAGGCCAGTGAAAATCTTGTCGTTGAACCAACAATGTTTTTTTTGTAATTTTGTATCAAATTATCGGGTGGGTTCACATGAAAATTAACCTGCATCACGAGAATTCCAAATGGCATTTGAACGTTGGAGCGCACTATATTCAAATTCACATTTTTACCTTTTTGAAATCTAACGTTTTGCGATGGTCCACAGCTTCCTACTCCATTGAAAACTGCAGCATACGGAAAACTGCTTCAATTTATGGCAGATTAGACTGGAACAAGGAAAAGTCCGAATTGGCGACAATAGTTAATAAGTATTTTTTATTCATATAATAACTAAATTAAGCTCATTTTTTAGTCCACTCTTTAGAATAAATTTGTAAAAAGTAATTTTATTAAAAAAAAGTGCGATTAAAAAGTAAAAAAAAACTTTTATATTTAGATGTAAAATTATTTTATCTAGAGATTGCCGCTGAAAAAAGTGTGGAGAAAATGAATTTTGACTTTTAAAGAGTAGGGTTCAGATATGGGCTAATAGCGTGTTCGACAGAGATTAAAATCGGATTAAAATTGAAAAACTAGCCGTTATTGTTGACTTTTATTAGACGAGTGGGACCCAATAACGGCTATATTTTTAATTTTAATTGGATTTTAAGCCCTACCAAACATGCTCTTAATAATGTTAACGCGACTGATTTCTTTCTTTCCAACTGGCATCCTGTTTCAATCTTGTTCCGTCCTTTTCACATTTTGCTAGTGCTGAAAAATAGAGTTCTTGTTCAAACTTAAAAGGTTTGTACTTTAATGATAATTCAGTTGAACTTCAGTGACCATTTGTGAAATTAACTAAAGTTGGTGGGATTGGGATGGATATTTCGGATAAATTAAAACTGGGTTGGGCCCTCATTCGAGCCTGTTGAGACTGCCTTGCATGAAGGACTGAATCTTCGATGGTTAAACTCTGATGGGCTTGGAAATGAGCGTTTATTAAAGGGAAAAGTTTATACATCAGGCATTTACTTAACCAAATTTAAAAATCAGGTCCTCAAGTTTAAAATTGTAAAAATCAGGTTTTTGTTTTTAATTAATTAATTATGGTTGAATAATGAGCCAAAATGTGAGATAATGGGCGCGCCTATAATAGTGCCCACCTACCATGTGATATTTTGTTCCATTAGCTTTGTTGGTTAAATAATATTTTCTACTTGGAAATCCATAATTGACTTATATATTTAGGGCGTGTTTGATAGAGATTAAAATCAGATTAAAATTCAAAAATTAATCATTATTATTGATTTTTATTAGACTGGTGAGACCTAATAACGACTATATTTTTAATTTTAATTGAATTTTAAGCCCTACCAAACATGCTCTTAATAATGTTAACGCGACTGATTTCTTTCTTTCCAACGGGCATCCTGTTTCAATCTTGTTCTGTCCTTTTCACATTTTGCTAGTGCTGAAAAATAGAGTTCTTGTTCAAACTTAAAAGGTTTGTACTTTAATGATAATTCAGTTGAACTTCAGTGACCATTTGTGAAATTAACTAAAGTTGGTGAGATTGGGATGGATATTTCGGATAAATTAAAACTGGGTTGGGCCCTCATTCGAGCCTGTTGAGACTGCCTTGCATGAAGGACTGAATCTTCGATGGTTAAACTCTGATGAGCTTGGAAATGAGCGAAATAATTTCTCCTTTAAAGTGGGTATAGTAATGTTAAATATTCAAATATTAGCATTCATCAAATTTTATTCCAGAAATACTAAAAAACAAAAAACAAAAAAAAAGGAAGTAAAATTAATAATCTACAAATCACCTCACTCCTCCAATCAAACTTTCCCCCACCATTCACGCTATAATTGAATCAAACAAATTCCACCATTCATGCTATAATTCAATCAAACAAATACATCCATTAAACCACCATTCAAGCTATAAATCCCTAATTCATAGGCTTGAGAATTAGTAGGATTAACAAAAATGAACTTTTTACATTGACATTTCTAATCTGATACATTTTTCGAAGTTTTACAATATGGTGTATGCATTTTCAACTTGATACAAGTTGATAAGCATTAAGGTTTCGTTTGTTCGTTATAATTGTTTTAGTACATAATACGTAACGAAAATGTTTTAGTTTTACAAAAATGCTAGATGTACACTCTCAGTATATATCATCTTCGACATTTGATGTATTGTTAAAAAATGATTGAAGAGAAAATTGTTTAATTTTTTAAACTGTCCAATAATGTATTGTCACGTGGCAAAATGTAAAGAATGATGTTGTAAATGTTTTGTACATGTACCATGATTGTTAGCTTTATAACAATTAAGATATCATATTATTGTTTCCGCACAATCTGTAAAGGATTGCTTTACCTATGATTTTATCATGGTTTTTATATGTTTTGTTTCAATCAGGGCGGATGGAGGGGGGGCAGCCCCCCCTCCCCCACAAACTGATTTTTTTTTTAGTTAGAAAAAAAATTTATGTTAAAAAAAAAAAAATCATGTGTAATTTTATTTTTTTTTACGTATTAGTCCGACCTGTAATCTGGTCTTGGATCCGTCCCTAATTTCAATCCTATACAATTTATCTGAAGCTCGTCTTGAACTTCTTTTAGGCTTAGCTAAAATGTTTTTAGCATGCAACATGATGCTCCTAATTTTTTTAAAATGAATAAATTCATAGATTAAGGCTTTTAGGCTTCATGTTGTTCACATAGTGTTCACCACTGTCCTTTTTAGGCTTCATAGAAGGGCCTCAAAGCCCATTTTAATGAACTCGATCCTCATGAAAGTAGAGTAGGCTTAGGATTACTTTCATCTTGCAATTCTTGAATCTATGTTTTTTAACGCTCAGTAAATGATAGATTGGGTTAAGTTCTTGTTTCTTACCTTTCAATTAATGAACACATTTTTTGTTGTATGAAATTATTATTTTTTTCATGTTACATCCATGTAACATTTAGTGGGACATATTATACCGTTACTTGCGCTATTTGATTTTTAAAATGAAGCACATCTTATCGTGTAAACTTCACAAGTAATAATACTCATTTATGTGATGTCAATCTATGCAGTTTCACATATGGTTTTCGTTATCGTACGTGTATTATAATAAAGATTGTATTAGAATTTTGTATTGTGTTCAATAAATCTGAATATGGTTGCCTTGATCCCAACATACCCTTATATGTTATCTAACCATATCTTCATTGAGCAAAATCTTTAGTCAAATGGTATCAAGTAATACCTAAATTAAATGAAAGCAAAATTACATTTTTTTTCTCTCTAGATAATGGGAATAACACGAAAATGTGTTGAGATGCCTTTGGAACATATGCTTGAAGAAATCATATGGAAAATTGAATGAACGAGGCACAAAGCCACGTTGCTTCTCTGTCTAAGCAAGGATTTTGGTTAACAAATCCAAGAATTCTGCACTTCTCTTACTTTCCTTTCCCCTTTATATCCCTTCCAACCATGTCACAGTTCAACAATCCTAACTCATTGCCCCATTATTCTTTTGACATATTTCGTTGGGAGGATTGGATTGTATGATGAAGAAAAATTTGAAATCTTGTTCGACATACGTTCAATTCTTGAACAAAATTCCAGTTGTTGATACTCGATGCCCTTCCAATGTTTCTGGAGCAGAAAATAATCGAAATGCATCTTCTATTGTACAAACAAGCTCAAGAAAAATCTGAAGGTGGAGTGATAAGTGTAGTTTATACATTTGTTCATGACCGTAAATTATGATATTTTATTGTCTTTTGGATTAAATTCTATATAATTTATGTTATATTATATTTTGTAGGTAAAATTTTATATTTAATGAAAAATTGAAGAAAAAAATGCAAAAGTGGCGAAAAATGGCAAAATTCAAAAATGAAACATTGGAGAGAAATATTACATTAAATGGGATCGAATTAAATGTATATCAATAGACTTGAATTGAAAATTCTAATTGGAGATCCAAATTATAGATATATAAAGGGTTATTGGCTCAAAACGTCCCTACCTTTGAAGGGTTGTGTGGAAAACATCCCTACGTTTGATTTTTTGGTGCGCAACGTCCCTACCTATCAAGTTTATTGTAGAAAACATCCCTACCTTTTATTTTTTGGCACAAAACGTCCCTACCTTCTGCATTTCTTTGCACTGAACGTCCTTTGCACATTTTTTTTAATTCAAAATGACCAATATACCCTCCTATGTAAATTGAACAAGAAAGAAAAATAAAAAAAGAAAGGATAATTGGCGCAAAACGTCCTTACCTTTGAAGGTGTTTGTGGAAAACACCCTACCTTTCATTTTTTGGTGTAGAACATCCCTACCTTTCACATTCTTTGCGCTGAAGGTCCTTTTCACCAATTTTTAATATAAAATGACCCTTATACCCTCCTATATAAATAAAACAAAAAATAGAAAAATAAAGAACTAATTACAATCAAAGTCCTAAACGTTTTTAAAAAATACAAGTGAGTCCAAAATTTATGAAAATATTAAAAATAAAAATAAAAAATAAAACCCCCTATCTTCTCCTCTGCCTCTCTTCGAGTGGGGTCCCTTTTATATTACTGGGTCAATAATCCCTTTTATTTTTTTTATTTTTAATATTTTCATAAATTTTGGACTCACTTGTATTTTTTAAAAACGTTTAGGACTTTGATTGTAATTAGTTCTTTATTTTTCTATTTTTTGTTTTATTTATATAGGAGGGTATAAGGGTCATTTTATATTAAAAATTGGTGAAAAGGACCTTCAGCGCAAAGAATGTGAAAGGTAGGGATGTTCTACACCAAAAAATGAAAGGTAGGGTGTTTTCCACAAACACCTTCAAAGGTAAGGACGTTTTGCGCCAATTACCCTTTCTTTTTTTATTTTTCTTTTCTTGTTCAATTTACATAGGAGGGTATATTGGTCATTTTGAATTAAAAAAAATGTGCAAAGGATGTTCAGTGCAAAGAAATGCAGAAGGTAGGGACGTTTTGTGCCAAAAAATGAAAGGTAGGGATGTTTTCTACAATAAACTTGATAGGTAGGGACGTTGCGCACCAAAAAATCAAACGTAGGGATGTTTTCCACACAACCCTTCAAAGGTAGGGACGTTTTGCGCCAATAACCCATATATAAATCTATATATACCTAGGGATTGATGCAAAAAAAAGGGGGGGGGGGAGAAAGACACAGACGGATATACACGGCACGACACAGGAGAAAAAATAAAAAAATAGGAGAATTGCGGCTGAAGGCAAGAAAGAAAGAAGAAAAGAAAAGAAAAGAGAGAAAGAAAGAAAGGAAAAGTCAAAGAAGAAAAAAAACCTAACACGGTGCAAGGAGAAGAAAAGAAAAAGAGAAAAAAAAAACTGTAAACACCAAAAAGTTTCACGTTTCGTCAATTTTTGGCGATATATTTCCACTTTTGCATGTTTTTATTTTTACGATATGAATAACTAATTTTTATATTAGGGAAAACAATTTAGTCGACTTGTGATCCTTTATTTTTTTATTCAAGATTTTTGTGATTTATTTATTTCTGTGTTGATTTTATTATGAGTTTAATGCATTAAATTACCTGATCAATAATTTGATTATTATGTGATTTAGAGATTTAGACCATATAATAAAATTCGATAAATTAGTATAACGTGTAGAGATACATATACTAATTATGGCGATCATAATATAAATTCTGAGAATTAGTGTTTCGTTTAACTAAAATTGATTCACATAAAGATATGGAATTGAATTAGTTAAATAGGATCAATGAGAACTCGAGATAGATAAATTAAATACAATAAAATAATTCGATCGAATACTATATTAGGTTATGAATCTTGAATTAAGAATAAATGTGATCAATAGATGATACTGTTATGTCGTAATATTCATCACATATTTGTTTCTTCATTTATCAATTGTTTGCAATCATTTAATATTTTCAATTAGTCAAAAGTAGTTAGGAAAAAATAAACACAATTATCATAGATATTTCCTTGCTTTTGTCAAAGATGAGTTAAGAAAAATTAGATTAAGTTCTAAGTATAATTCTCGTGAGAACGATAATTCGACTCAAATGTCCAATATATTACTTATTACGATATTGTACACTTGCGATATAAAAAACGTAATATGGAGCAAAAGAAATGATTGTACAGTTGTCGAGGTTTTGCTACCTGCTTACATACAATAAGGGAAATCACGATACAGTATATGCACACAGGTAAATGACTACATCCGACAAGAGTATTGTTGGAAAAAATAAATAAATTGAAGGGCCAATTTTGACATAAATTTAACTGAGATACTGTTGACAAAGTGATCAATTATTAACTAAATTTAGCTGTCACTAAATGGGTAAAAGAATATACCTTAATGATAATTCAGTTGAACTTCAGTGACTATTTATGAAATTAACTAAGGTTGGTGAGATTGGGATGGATATTTCGGATAAGTTAGAACTGGGTTGGGCCCTCATTCGAGCCTATTGAGACTGTCTGGCACGAAGGACTGAAGGAAAATTATAATAATTCAGGTGTTTAAAGATTGGAATTCAAAATTCAAGGATCAAGTTTTATTATTCAAAAATTAGGTAATATAAAAACTGGGATATACCACTAAATGACCCAAATTCCAAGCCAAAATTCCAAACTAACCCCAAACTAACCCATTTCACTATTCAAATATATAAACTACCTAAAATACCCTTAATATAAAAGGTTTCAAAATAAGTTATTTTAGTTCTCATAACTTTAATTCTAATTTTGGATTCGACAAAATTGTTTGCCCCTTGCAATAAAAATTAACTTTTCTTCACCATCAACTCTTTCCACCTATCTTGAGCCGAAAAAATTTGATATTGATTAATAATTTTATTTTTGAATTTTTGCATTTTAGGTCCAATAAAAATGGTATCAGAGCCCTATATCTTGAGGATTTAAAGACATTAGAGAATGGAAGATAATAACGAAATTTGCATAGGGTGGTACGTTAACAATTCTACTGAATATTTAGATACTGATAGTTACATTCAACATCTTATTAATAAATCAAGAAATTTGATTGATAAAATAAAAGACTCCGATAGTCTTAAAATAAAGAAAAA